TAGAGAATTATAATAACGCACCCTGAGCATCTGGCCACTATCGGACGCTTTGGAGAAAGAGATGCCAAAACAAAAATTAGAACAGTATTTCACACACCTTGGCATTATTGAAAGGTCAACCTGTGACCCGTTCATGGCCAAAGGCTAGGTGATCATTCATTTGTGAATGGACTGAAAATGGCCATGCGTGTGTAGGTTGGGTGTGAGTCAGTTAAAAAAATCATCTCCTCAGGTGGAAGTTTCAGAACATGTGCAGCGTTTGTGTACCCACGAACTCTGCCCTTCTCTCCGAGGCTTTTGATATGATTCCTCATCCTCAAGATCTACAGAAGGAAAATTTCGCTTTTGTGAAAATGCTTCCATGGGAACATGATAGGCGGCCAACTGGGCACTTTTGCATCAAAACTGGAAAGCGTGTTCTCTTCTACCTTATATTCTCGGGGAAAGTTGGTTGCTCCCCGCACTGGAGTTCACACTTTCCCGCCCACGTGACTAGATACTCTCTTGACTGACTCAGAGCTACCATCCAGTGCACAGGAGAAGTCCACCGAGCCTTCGACCCAGCATTTTTTTTCTAGAAAATCCACATATCTCCAGACACTGGGGTGAATAATGGAGTGTGGTGGTGGGGCCCATTAAGCTCCGCCGACCAGAGGTCTCGGCTTCATAGCTCCATGGACGCACCAAAGGGATATTGGGTAGGGAGGATTAAATTGAAAAAGAAAACAGAAGAAAAAAAATGGAAAGCATTCCTTCAAGAAAGCACCACTCCCTGCTCAACACACAGTGTCCCAGGGAATTCACCCCTCGTGAGTTCAGTGTATGTAGGCTGAGGAAGATAGTGGCTGAAGAGCACCATTTGCATAATACTCCCTAGGCCAAAACGTTTCCAGGGATGCAAATTTACAGAGACATTCACAATTCACCATTCACAACTCTGTCACCTACAAACCAGCTGATCGCAAGCCCACACTGGGAGCAACATTACGAAAATTAGGCCTAATGAAAATTTATAGTGATAGCGACTTCGATGAAAGTTGGTTGCTCCAGTGGGTGTGCAACCAACTTTCCTATAAATTAAGGAGTATATTGAACAGGGAGTGGCGCTTTCTTGAGGTTTGTCAAGTCGAAGGTTCTATGGACTTCTGGTGCGCTCTGGATAGCAGTTGTGAGTAAGTCAAGTGTCATATGATCGGAAAAATCGCCCGCTTCTTTGCGGGGAGTAACCAACTTTCATTTACACTTATCACCGAAAGCCACCGAAATCCTCGAATTCTCCCTGAAGTGATGGGTACTTGTCTTGATTCATCGTAGCTCATAATGTACTTGTTTGTGGGTGAAGTGCTTGGATACAGTGAGTTCTGCGCGCCAATACCCTGTGTAGCATATCAGAGAGTGTGAATTTCGAATTCCAAGTGAAGCACGGTCTCTGCTTGGATGAAGGCTACACCATAGCTCACCTGTTAGAGCATGCCTGGTGTCTAGCAGAAGGCCCCTGGTTCCAGTCCTGGTGGTGGAAGCCAATTGCTTCTCCAGATTTTCCCTTTTGTACTCTCCAACAGAAGAATACAACAATATTATTATTATTGATTGTTTCAGTCATTCCTCATTGGGTGACGAACTTCCATTGATGACTGTCACACAAAAACGATTCGGAAACTAGCATTTTTTACATTTTGTTGTATCCCTACACACTTTCCTGATGGTTCCCTTTCCGAACTCCCTCACATGTCTGCAAACTGCACAATTTCCTGATTGTTTGGCTTGATTTTCTTGAGTGCAACCTATGTCACTACCGGTATTACTATAAAACTGCGTCACTTACGCAGGGTTTGACCAACATCCTTAACCTGTTCAGCACGAAGGACGTAATAATACGTCATTCAGAATACCACTGCACCACGGAGGACGTAATATTACGTCCTGAGTGTACATCGCGCATATACGCGATTTGTCTGGATCGCGTGCGTTCAAACTATCGTAACTCAGCCAATTCTTGGTCGATTCTCACGATCGAAGTATGTATCTGGAAGAGAAAACTCCCAGCTTGCGATAGAAACAATCGCCGAAGCGATACGACCCCGGGTTGTTGAGATATGCGACTCGACACGGCAAATTCAAAGAGAATTTTTTGCGCGATCTGCAGAACGCGTATTTTGCATTTTCGATCATTTTCGATCATTTTTGCGCTACCTGCTGCCATGGAAACTAGATTCAAATGATGGTGGCGGATCTCGGGAGTCCTCAAAAAAAATTTGAGCTCGATACGAGCAAGGAGGGCGAAATGGCAGCTGAGGATTTGGTCTCTTGCCCGTGCTCAAGTCTGTCGAGCGCGTGGGTGAAGTTTGCCAGACTGTAGCATGGGCGTTTAGTTTCGCTCCGAGCTGAGTTTGGAACTAGTGTGCTCCTCGTCTCAAGACCTTTCCAGGAAGCTCAAGATCGTGGAATTCGTCCAAGGGAAGGTAAAGTTATCGATCCTTGAACAGGTAGTACTTTCATAGGAAAAACGCCACTTTTGCAGGTGTTGCCGTGGGGAGGCATTCAGGTAGCGTCGTGCTCAAAAGGTTAAAAAAACTGTGCGGCAGAGGAGGAAACAACCTCGTAAATGTCCGTTGTAGATGAAAAATTAAGTCGCGCACAGGATCGCATCAACAAATGAATCGCAACAAGTGCAATAATTCTTACCTATGGCCTATTACCTTACCTATTGTGGAAATGGTGGGCATAGTGACCATTCTTATCTAACACCAAAGTATTACTGTAATACCCTGGTGGCGTCTGATGGAAGACAGTTCCACTGAGTTCTGACTTTCCAGCTCGCAACGTCGCGGAATTTTCTCGTTTTCTGATCGTGTGGCCATATCTGACACACTGTCGAAGGGAGGTGAAAGGACCACAAGCTTTTCAAAGTTGACTTGTACTATCCCCTCCTTCTTGTTGCAAAGCTGTAAGCCACAGCTAAAGTCGAGAAAATTATGCGCTGCTTGTTGCAACGAGTAAAACTGAGAAAGATTCCTCTTTCGGACACTGACCAAATGCGTACCGTCCGCAGGGAAATCCACAGCCCGTCACACAGATATGGTTTAGCTGCTGGCGAACATTCAGCCTGGAGAGTGGACCGCCTGGATGACCTTTGGACCGGGTTTTTGAAAACCGTGCTGCACCTGATCCATAGAGTACACAGGTGGTAGGCTGAGCTCTGCCCTAATTATTATTTTCGTGCCCGAGGGCGGCAGCGATTCTATTGCGTGGTGTTACAAGCGCGTGCTGGTTCTTTGCAATGCCAGCGCATTGATTTGGGGTCGGATTTCAGTTGACACCACTGTACAATGTATATGCATGATTGTAGCTGTAGTGCATGTATCGCCTATCTAATATGCTGTGCATCAGAAGTCGTCAGAAGTCGATTTCTAAAGACAATTGCCTGTCTTTACATGCTACGGGCTGCAGAAGAAACTTACCAAATTTTGGATCCACTTTGGCCTTGACGACGTATTGGATGTGGTGGGTGGACGACTCTTGCCCCACGTGCATGTAGACGTACATGTACACGTGCATGTAGATGTACACGTACACGTGCATGTAGATGTACACGTACACGTGCATGTAGATGTACACGTACACGTGCATGTAGATGTACACGTACACGTGCATGTAGATGTACACGTACACGTGCATGTAGATGTACACGTACACGTGCATGTAGATGTACACGTACACATGCATGTAGATGTGATTTTGTTCTGTACCGGGCAGGAGTGGGCTCCTGAGCAGGATCCCAGATAGCCCTTTGTGGGGATAGGGCCGGTCGAAAAATTGGCAGAATCTGGTACTTTTCCTGAGGCTGTATGTTTTAAATGCATGATTGATATTTGGATAAAAATATGGAGCAGAAGTCCTGGCCCGCCACAAAGTTGTTGTTGTCGTCGTCGTCGTCGTCGTCGATGTTGGTGGTGATGTAGAAAAGAAAAAGAACCAAGGAACTATAAGTTACGCTATAATGTATTAGCGAAACAGCTGCCTGAAGGAATAAGCGTTATCAATATCGTCAACGGAAGTGCCCTCGCAGTGGTGATGGTTGTGTGCAGGAGGGTCTAGTCGGCTGAGAGTGCGGTGTAGAGGTGGAGGTGATATCAACATTGTCTTCAATGGCCTAGATCTCTGTCGCACCCTGTAATGACTGAATTGGGGATATAATTACTTCAAGGAGTGCGAAGGGATTCGGGAAGGGCATTAAAGCGTTCAACACCAAGGAATAAAATAGATTTGTATTCAGCTTGGGTTATCACAATGGGTAAAGAAAGGCTTGGTCGCTATCATCGCTTCAACGATGGGCATGTGCAAGTGGACGTGTGTGTGTGTGTGTGTTTGTGTGTGTGTGTGTGAGTGTGTGTGTGTGTGTGCGTGTGTGTGTGTGTGTGTGTGGGTGTGTGTCTCCCATATGGTGCAGTGGTATGTGCAGCGATTTCCAATCGATAGGTTGCGGGTTCAATTCCCGACGATTATGGTCACACACGTCTTTCTTCTCTTTCTCAGACTCTTCCTGTCTTTTCTTTCATTCTCCTGGGTGGTTACTAACAGCCAGTGATTGCCGGAGTATGTGGTGTGATGTGTGTGCGGGAAAAATGAAAAGACCAAAAATAGGGATTCACTGGCCAGAAAAAGTCACTTCAAAATAGCTGTATGGTGTAGACCAGGCTGAATAGTGACGGTCAATTCTTCAGCCTTGCAAGCTGTTGAATGGTGCAATCCCAGCACAAGTTGCTATGGCTTCTGCCGTAGCATTGCTATCATCGCCTCCGGCGATGGGCGTCAAAGGTCAAGGTCAAGGTGTGCAACAACAACAACACAGAAGTGTAATGCTGTATGGCGTTCCCCGCCCGGTGGACTACACGTCTCCTGGTCTGCCCGTATGGGGCCACATAGCCAGTCATGGCAGTGGAAGAAGGAAGGGAAGGAAGGATGTGTGTGTGTGTGTTTGTGTGTGTGTGTGTGCATCAAGACTAGCACAGAACGGTTCTCTGATATCTTGAACATGAAAATCAAAGACACTACGCTTGCAATCCTTGCTGCGCAGAACCACGCAGTAAAGGTTATGGAGTTTCTTCTCCAACAGTCTCGCCAAGATGTGGACCTGGAGAAGGAAGGCACTGCGCGTTTTGAGGGTGAGGAGCGTATCAGTGGGGCAACACCTCTCTGGACGGCCGCGGCACTGGGCGGTGTGGACATTGTGAGATTGCTAGTGAAGGCCGGAGCACAGGTCAACCATCCCAGTGCCACCAACTCGACACCGCTGCGCGCCGCTTGTTATGACGGATTCATCGAGGTCGTTCGGTTTCTTGCCGAACACGGTGGCGACGTGAACATTCGCAATCGCTTCGGCAGTGGCCCACTGCACCTGGCAGCCTATCGTGGCTATCCGAACATCGTCAAGTTTCTGCTGGATCGCGGTGCCAATCCCAACGTCCAGACGAGCACGGACCGAGAGGTTCCTCTCCACCATGCTGCACTCATGGGACACGCCGACGTGGCCAAGCTACTCGTCGAGGCCGGTGCCGACACGGTCATGCAGTCTTTCTATGACGTCACACCGCTGATATGTGCGTCGGCTGCTGGAGAGCACTCAGTGGTTGATGCCTTGCTGCAATCCACCACGCCACCGGTCAGCCTGAAAGAGCGTGCCACGTCTATGCTGCTCCTCGGTGCTGCTTATGTTGATCGGCACCAGAACCGAGCCAAAGCCGAGCAGATCTGGTCGCAGGCTATGACGATAGAAGGTGGCATGACCTTTGCACACGGCCAGCTGCCAAAGTACCGCATCTACGACGACATCCAGTTCCCGGAGTCGCGTGCCAAGCTCAAACACACGCTGGCAGATGACTGGCAAGGGTTCAACCTGGCGTCCGCAATACGGGAGCATGTTCTGGGCCCTAGCAGTCAGGACACGATACACTACCTGCGTTGCCGTGGCGCCATGGAGGCGGACGCACGCCGTTACGTCAAGGCCATGAAGCTCTGGCTGCACTGTCTGCGCCTGGAGATGGACAGCGGGAAGAAGAACGCCGGGGGTGACATCCACGTTGACGGCATGTACAGAACTTCTGGTGGAGCAGATACGCAACGAAGGTGATGCCGACGTGAAGGCACTGTTCGAGGTTGTCTGGAGCAATCTCCACCGCCACCCCCTCGGCGGTATCGAGTGTGGGAAAACAGTGCGGATCCTTCTCACGGTGCTCTATGTCTGGGACAAGCTATCGTCCACCATGCCGCACCACTTCGTGGCCTGTCGCGAGGCCGCCCAGCGTTTTGTCTACCAGCGTTTCGTCCTGCACAAGGGCTACAACAACTACACACTGCTGCACTTGGTCTGCGACAAGAAGACCTTCGTCAGCGGCGCAAAGTCGCGCAAGAACTTCTGCCAGTTTCCTAGTCCGCCATTGCTCAAGCTGCTGCTGGAGTCGGGCGCCGATCAGATAATCGAAGAGCGTGACAGTCGCGGAAACACGCCACTTCATACGGCGGCGGCTAGCGGGAACGTGGGCTGTGTCCGCGAGATGCTCTTCTACCTGACTGCGAAGCAGGCGACGCTGACGAATCATTCCGGAGTGACTGCAGCCAGCATCAGCTCCAATAACACACCCAGTGATAGGATCCACATGGTCATTAATGAGTTTGTGTCACGATGCAAGTAGCAGCATGCTCGCAGTCATTGTGATTGGGTTGCCTTGGACTTGCTTCTGCCTGATTCCTTTAGCGAAGGAGACACCGTACATCCGTCGAAACAGTCTTGTGACTGCATGTGTGTGTGTGTGTGTGTGTGTGTGTGTGTGTGTGTGTGTGTGTATGTGTGTGTGTGTGTGTGTGTCCCATATGGTGCAGTGGTATGTGCAGCGATTTCCAATCGATAGGTTGCGGGTTCGATTCCCGACGATTATGGTCACACACGTCTTTCTTCTCTTTCTCAGACTCTTCCTGACTTTTCTTTCATTCTCCTGGGTGGTTACCAACAGCCAGTGCATGCCGGAGTATGTGGTGTGATGTGTGTGCGGGAAAAAAGAAGAAAAAAAGACCAAAAAGTAGGGATTCACTGGCCAGAAAAAAGCCACTTCAAAGCTGTGTGGTGTAGACCAGGCTGAATAGTGGTGGTCAATTCTTCAGCCTTGCAAGCTGTTGAATGGTGCAATCCCAGCACAAGTTGCTATGGCTTCTGCTGTAGCATCGCTATCATCGCCTCTGGCGATGGGCGTCCAATGGTCAATGGTGTGTGTGTGCTGTGTGTGTGTATGTGTGTGCGTGCGTGCGTGTGTGTGCGTGCGCATGTGTGCCTGATTGTATGAATAGTGATCATTGTTACAATGATGACCCTATGTCAAAGCACAATCCTGGAAACCGTGTAGTGAGATGCGAAAAATGTGGCGTTTCAAATGCATTATCACTCTTCCACATGTATATCGACCTCCACTAATTCTCGTGCTCCTTGACTGGTCCTATATTACCCATATCGCCGCAATATCGACCGCTTATATCGACCGCTTGTATCGACCACTTAGGCATTGTAATCTTTCGACTTTGGAGGGACTCAGAATTTTTCTCTCCACTTCAAAAAGAAAAAATTGAAAGAAAGAAGACAAAGGAAGAGAACAAGCAGGATTTGAACTCACAACAGTATGAATCTCAAGCAACCCCTTATACCACCCAGCCACTGTGCTGCAGATGCTGAACTCTGTTGTTCTTAGGCCTCGTTTACACGACAACGATTGAAAAACGTTTTTGTCAAAAACGTTTTCAAAAGAACACGCTTCCACAGATTTTGATAAGATCGTTTACACGACAACGCTGAAAAACGTTTCAAAAACGTTTCAAACGAAAAACGGCCTCAAAGTGTTTTTCAATCGTTTTCGTTCCGTTTCGTTCTCGTGTAAACGGCAAAAACGTTTTACTAGTACGAGCCTTGTACTCAAAACATGCCGCCGCCAGCCTGCGCCAGGCCAACTTTTTGCACGTGACCATTGCGCGCCGAAAAAAGTGTTGCAGTGTACACGATTATCGTTTTCGTGTAAACAGCAAAAACGTTTCGAAAACGATTGAAAAACGTTTTTCAATCGTTGTCGTGCAAATGAGGCCTTACAGTCTTGTACTCAAAATAGGCAACATCCTATGTACACTATAGTACAAATGCTATACTAAAAATGTTAAAATAGCTCCTAAAGGTTCAAATTTTGGGGTTATGGCAAAGGAATCGTGATAAATAGGATATTGACCTCGACTTCGGTCTATATGGGAAATATAGGCCTCGTAAAAGACCTCGGCGGACCTCGGTCTTTTACTCGGCCTATATTTCCCATATAGACCTCGTCTTGGTCAATATCCTATACTTATTCTTTTATTACACGATGGCATGACGCCAATAGAGAAGATTGATAAGTGTGGTAGAACTGATACTAGCAAGAAACAGCTAGATGGAAATTACAAGGGGAGGCAATAAAGAAAAATGAATGCAGCCCCCTCCCCCCCCCCCCCCATTCACTGTCTTGAGAGTCTCACCACTAGTTGATACCGTTCATGTCAAAACAATTCCGAAATATGGTGCCTTGCCAGCTCTGCTGCCTGAACTTGTAGCATTTTCTCGAACATTGTAATGATGTACTGTGACAGTCGCAGGACGAGAATCAAATCACACCATCACGCCGCTCACGTGATCTACACGTACATGTATGACAGGCGTTATAGATAAGGACTGAGAAGTAAAACGCCGCAAGGTCTATTTTTGATGCTAATGACATGCACAGGATGCGTGCATGGACAGATATTGATTCGTAAATCATCTTTTATTTTTTTATTAGCGGTGCTATCTTTGGGTTTACCAGTATTAATTTAATACATTTCAGGCAGTGGTGAGAAACTGGGGATGCCGGTCACAAAACCTTGTGCTTCACTGTCCGAAGAGTGCAAAATGCCCATGTTGGGCAAAGCCTTGTACACAAGAGAGATCCTCCGCAGCGACCACCAGAATAAGACAACGGAAGTGAGAACCCGTAACTGCCGTGTGAAAAATGATCGTCCACTGGAAGGAAATTGTCTAACATCGAGCATTGTGTACAGGGCACATGTGACCGGGAGCGACATCAAAGAGTACACTGGATTAACGGACGGAACAATCAAGGCACGATTCAAAGGTCATCAACATACCATTCGCTACAGGAAGCGTGAGACCTCAACGAGACTGTCAAGACACATCTGGGGAGTGAAGATAGAAACAACCCATACAGTATCAGATAGTCCGTTGCGAGGAGAGCCGCACGATACTCTAACATCGCTGCAACCTGTGTCTGGCCGAGAAGCTAGAGATTGCCTGGGCCAACAAGACCCGCTCCCTCAACAAGAGGACAGACCTAGCGTCCAAGTGTCGTCATGAAAACAAGTTCTACCTCCGTAACCTTGTCCGCAAGATCACGTGAATCTAGCTGGTAGTCTTGCTTCTGTGAGTGTGTGCGTGTGCGTGCGTGCGTATGTGTGTGTGTGTGTATATGTGTGTGTGTTTGTGTGTGCGTGTGTGTGTGTGTGCGTGTGTGTGCGTGTGTGTGTGTGTGTGTGGTGCCAGCTATTTATGTTGGTGGGTACACTTATGTCTGATTATGTTGGGTCTGTTGCCAAAGGGCTCGGCTACTTGAAGGTGTAATGTTGTACCTGCCAGCTTTGTTGGTTCCAGGGTTCACATTCTTTCTTTCTCGTCTGGTGAGTACTTTCTATTTGAAGTATAGATACCTGTTAGCCATGCTTCTGGCTAGATTCTGGCTAGATTAACTCTTGTGTAATCAATGATGCTAGTGAAGCTTATACCAGATACACCCTGATTTAGCCACCCACACTACTTCGTAGTAGCAAGTATTACCTTCATTGGGGGCAGGGGTAACTGCAGTTGGATCCCGGGACGGATGCTCTGATGCCGTCGATCCTGTTTCTGCACCTTGTCCTCACCTACTTACTGAGGTGTGGTGAGCCCATAAGTGGGATCATTTTTAAGTCCACCCAGAGTTTTGGGGATTTCAGGGGTGTCAGCCGTTGGGCGATTCAATAGCCAATTGAGTCATCTTTCCGAGGTTCCTTTTGAGTCTCTCCCCTCTTCCGGGGAGACCCACGTGACCAATTTGGCAGTGAGCATTGCTGCTGAGCAACAAGTGTGTGTGTGCCGTGTGTGTGTGTGGTGTATTGTATTGTATTGTATTTGTATTGTATTGTATTTATTTAAAAGGATTCTCCAAAAGCAAATGGATGCTTATCACGGAAGTCTCCCACATAAATATCGCAAGAAAAATGGGGAAATGGGGAGAGGAGAGTGGAAGATGAAGCATGGGAAGAAGGGAAACAAGTACCTAAATATCGAGGTATAAAAGCAGGAAAGAAATCGACGAGGGAAGAAATCACCTCTGCAGATAATAGCGGGACATTTAGATGAAAAAACCCATGTATGTGTGTGTGTGTGGGTGTGTGTTTGTGTGTGTGTGTGTGTGTGTGTGTGTGTAGGGGGGGGGGGGGCGCAGCTAGTCCGGTTGGTGGGTACACTATGCAAGATAGTGTTGCTATGGCTAACATAGCTGTTCGCTATCATCGCTTCCGCGATGGGCAGGTCTGAGGTGTGAGGTATGCGTGCTCGTGTGTGGGTGTATGTGTATGTGAGAAAGGGGAGAGAGCGTGGGTGTTTGTGTGTGTAATGGTGTGAGCATGTGTGGATTTGGCATTAATTTTAAGCCCCCAGCTCTATTCTCATTCACGCCGGAACTGCTGCTGCAAGTCTATAGACTTGGCAGCTTCACGCCTGCACCTGACTTTTGCGCTATGAATCCCCTATGATACCCCTCAGAATTTCCCACCTGACTCCCCCTTATGTTCAGGCTCCCCGTTTTGGAGCCATCAGTTACCTGATGATGCTAGTATTACGCGAAACTCAGAGTGGCGACACAGCTTCCAATCTCTCCCGTGTAATAAAAGTGTATAGACCCTTGAAAATCAATTGCTGTCTCTGAAAAAAACAACGTGGCTGGAGGTTCATGTTGCCGATTCGTTGTTGACATTTTCTAATTACAATCTCTAGATCTTCTGGGGCCCGCTATACAGAAGAACATTAATTTTGGAGGGCAGAAAAAATATGTGGCCAAATTAATGCCATGGCGCTTGCAGTTCGCTACGCCTGTCAGCCAACAACGATACAATTATATTTGACAGGCAGGTCGTGATTGTGAATCGTGATACATGTACACCCGGCTCAAGATTATCCAAGGCTTCAAGAATGCTGAAGTTGGAAGCTGGTATCTATTCTCCTCTTTATAAAGCCCTTGCAGGGTACCAATGTAGATAATTTACCTACCGTGTCAGATATGAAGTTATCCTTGGTGTCCATATGCAAACTCACGCGTCTTGTATATCAGCCAGTGCGACAGTAGAGCATTCATTCCCTTCGCCATGAGCCCAAGCGATTTGAAAAGTTATTTGAAAAAATTAAAAATTTGAATGGATGTACATTGTACAATCATGCGCATATCACAGGCCATGCCGCATATCCAGCAGTAATCCCGAGGCCATTAAGTTCGGCAGAGCTTGATACCGGTATCTCTAATCCACTTCACCTCCTCCCTCGGAGTTGGTAGCTGCTTGCTATTCACTGAAAGGCCATCATTGGCCTCTTCAGTGTACTTTGCCGATAGTGCATTCCGTAGGAAAAGGGATACACTAGGCACGCAGCAATGAATGCAATGGTCCTTTGGTGGAGAACAACCTTAGTTTAGTTCAAACTCAGCACCATGCGCTCTATGGCCAGCATTCCCACCAGCAACACCTCTGTTAATCGTTGGAGATATTGGCGACAAAATGCATTTCCACATTACTTGCGACGTCCGCTGACATCCGATGAATCCCTGTTTTCTTTCTTTTTACTAAAAGCCAAGTGTGGCACGCAATAGGAACATGCAGCAGCCATGGGGGTGGGGGATTAAAAACTGTACCAACCAAAAAGGTAAGATTTTAAAACAATTCCCGTTGAGGTCCTGTACTGTCATATCACGTGTATGCACAATCATGTACATAGTTGCACTTACCGAGAGGCTGACGAATGTTACCCGTCCCATGTTTACCAGCCCAGTCCCCTTCCCGGCGTCTCCAGCAGGTTCAAAGAATACAGAACAACACTAACAACACTAACGACACTAGAGACGTTTATTATCACGAACTGGTCGTGAATCAATTGACAAGGAATGAACTGATCTGTGTGCAGGACTTTTCGATACGTTTGAAAGGTCTGACCAGCAATGTTGCCCGTGAAGCAGCGATTACCGTGCGCAGAGCTGATACAACGTCTCATTCTCACGACTAATGACATTATTAATGTTATTCGTACTCCGCTACAAGTTTGTTACAGCTGGTCGTGTCTGTTGCTGGCTTGTGGCGGCAAGTTGACACCTAGTGCCTGTCGACTGTATGGCACGTGTATGGCACGTGAGAAGCTCACATCTGACACGAGAAGCATGTCAAACATTTCAGTTGGTAAATGCAAAGAAACCATCACTTCCCAGTAGTTCCTACCACGTACACTGTGATGGTGCTTCAAGGAGCTCATCCTTCACTACTAGTAACATTTTCAGTAGGCTATTGAAATACATGTACATGTACATGCATGTGTTTGACATTGTGCTACAATTCAATAGCAGTGCTGCCAACCTTCCGTATGTTTCCGTATTTTTACGGAAAATCACTCCTTCGTCCGCAGTACGGAACTCAAGCAAAATGCAATGGAAAATTGAAGACGATCGATCTGCTTCAGATATGTATGTAGAATCGTGGCAAGCGCCAACTGAGCGATGAATATCTCTGTGACAAAGCGAGTGCATGCCATGCTTCCACGACATGTCGCACAGAGTACCATGTCCTGGTACAAGTCACACATGTTTTGCACTAGCAAATTCAGTATTGCGCGTCCCATGTCTACCATGCTAGTCCCCTTGCCGGCGTCTCCAGCTGGTTGAAAGAATACAGAACAACACTAACGCCACTAGAGACGTTTATTATCACGAACTGGTCGTGAACCAATTGACAAGGAATGAACCGATCGGTGTGCAGGACGGTTCGGTAAGTTTGAAAGATTTGATCAGCAATGTTGCCGGTGAAGCAGCGATACCTTGTGCAGAGCTGATACGTCTCATTCTCACGGCTAATAGAAAGGTTGGCACAACGAAAATTCGTAGCGCCGAAACGAATAATTTAACGAAAAAAGGGAACGAATATTCGTAAAAAGTCAGGTTGCGCACAACGTGTGAATTTTTTCGCAGTGGGTTGACGGGGCACAGGTGCGAAGAGTCGAGAAAGGAAGTCGCAAAATATTCGTACTTTAGTACTCCAAGTGACGAATAATATTTTCGTATACCGGTATCTGCTCCGTTTCGGTCGCGTTTGGACGAATCTTCGTAGCAACTTTCGTTACTCGAACTGGGATGGTCAAAATCTTACGACGTTTCGTTGTGCCGCAACCTCTCTACTGTTATTCGTACTCCGCTACAGGTTTGTTACAGCTGGTAGGCATGGGCGGGTAATGCTAGTTATTTGATGGAATACTGCTAAAGGCAATGCTCATGATATGAGGATTTATCACTCCCTTAGTATTGACTCGCGTAGATTTTTGCCATACCTAAGCAGTCAAATATTCCTGCATATTTCACTCCTTAGGGCTATATTGACTGCATATATTTGACTGCTTAGGGGTTGCGCAGTTGAACGGTGCCTAGTGCAGCATTGTCACTGCATGAGTAGGTGGTGGTGCAACTGTTGTGCAATCATAAAACCGGGATTCATGAGGTTATCGTTCTGGAATTTGAAATACGGACTGTTTGTCGTGATAAATCTAATATTGACTTCGTACTTGGTCAGTATAGGAAATATAAACCTCGTAAAAGACCTCGGCTTCGCCTCGGTCTTTTACTCGGCTTTTATTTCCTATATTGACCTCGTACTCAGTCAATATTAGATACTAGTACATAACGCCACTTAGAATGCTCACACTACTCCATAATGCCAGTTTGAAAGTTGGAAAAGTCGATTTAAGAAGGCCGTCTTGGATCAAGGCCAAAGCGTAGAAGAAAAAACTTGAACAGCAGTGAGCCTGATGTTGTCTGAAACAATTCACTGAGAAGGTTGATTTGCAACGTCAAGTCTCCGGACAAAGCCGGACGGGTTCAGATGCACGATTTTCGGAACTGGACCTAGCCAGCTTCATGCATGACACCGTTGTCGACCGGCGCACTTGTAATGCCAATTTTGCATGCGAAATGGTGTTATAATGCCAGCATTATGCCACCTGGAAAAAGGGACTATAATGCCAGCCCTAATGCTAGCATTACCCGCCCATGCCTAACAGCTGGTCGTGTCTGCTGCTGCTGGCTTGTGGCGGCAAGTTGACACCTAGTGCCCGTCGACTGCATGGCACCTGTATGGCACGTTACAAAACGTGTATTGCACGTGAGAAGCTCACATCTGGCACAAGAAGCATGTCAAACCTCTCAGTTGGTAAATGCAAAGAAACCATCACTTCCCAGGAGTTCCCACCACGTATACTGTGATGGTGCTTCAAGGAGCTCATCCTTCACTACTAGTTCATTTTCAGTAGGCTATTGAAATACATGTACACGTGTTACAATTCAACATGGGATGAGCTCACATTTGCCATATCTCAGGGTCTGCAATGGACCTTGGTCAACACAGGGTTCGTACAAATCCCTGGTCAACACACTGGATCCATGGAGTACTGGAGAGGTTCTGCTATACGTGAAACAGAGACATCACGTAGAGAGCAGGTGTCTGGGTTAGAGTCTACGGCTTCGCATGTTTTGGGTCCTGATTTCTACTCGGAGATTAGGTTCTCTACGTTGGGACACACGCAAAGAAAATGCGTACGGATCTGCAGGGTCGCATTCGAGTGCAGGGCAGGCAGAAAACTTCCAAATATGGAAGGGGAAACTCCCAGCACACATTCCACGTGACTCCTCTACGTGAAACGTAGAGCAGAACTGGATTTCTTTACGTTACGGGAACGCGAAGAGAGTTCGCGTGATTCTTTGCGTCGCATTCCCGAAATGTAGAGCAGAACCGCACTACCACCAAGAGTACATATAATAACCAGATCGGATCTTCCCAAGTTGTACATTGTACTGTTGATATACCGAATTCAAATAAATCAATACCATACCATACCATACCAGGGTTATGTACTCTTGGTAGTATTCATAGACGCGAGCAAAGCTTTCGATGACATTGAAATAAAAAACACGGTCAGCCCAAAGATGATCAAAGGTAATGGAATACAGAAATTGAACAAAGAAAACTCTTGCGCGGACGGAGAGTTGGTATTACTGGCACTCCTGGTGCCGTGTCAGCCCTTTTGACACTTGCTCAGTCCCTACATTTGCTTATGCTGGACATCCATATAGGTACAGTAGTACAAGACAAAGGGATAGCTCAAGTCAGAGTGACAGAGTGACAGAGTGACAGCGTGACGGCCAGAAGAAGGGAAAGAAGAAAGAAGAAAGACTTGAAGAAAAAGAACACAAAAGGAAGGGGTTGGATTGCTCAAAATCTTGTACAGATTATCTCCCATTTGTTCGTTCATGCTCAACCTTTCTAGGGGCTCTCGTAAGAAGACCATAGGTCTGTGGGAAACACCCTAGTAAAATAAATAAATGTAGAAGAGAAAAGGACATATGGATACGAGTTAAGAGTAACTCTCCATCATTGTAACATGATACTTTATACAGTCAGAAAGTGCAATAACTAGGCACAAAACTACATTTATTTATTGCTCAACATCCGAGTTTAAAATAAATAAAATAATAATAATAACATGTGCTAAGTCGCATCTACAAATCCATTATTCAGAGAGTTTGAAAGGGAAAGCGCTCTAGTACACACGTGTATTGTTATGCTGAGAGAATACAGTGACGAAAATTGGGGAAAGCAGAAAGAACAGAATGCAGCTACATGTATGCGCAAGCAGCATAATGCTATAACGCAGCACAGAGCGTGTACAATGACATAAGCTGTACCATAACCACCCTGTACTCATAATTATTATGCATTGCTCATGCATTCCATAGTTGGAAAATGCGCAATGTGCCCCATAAACACCATGTACTGATATGCATTACTCATGCATTACTCATGCATTACTCATGCATTGCTCATGCATTACTCATACATTACTCATGCATTACTCATGCATTCCTGCTGTCAACCAGCAACATGTGTCGGAACTAAAACAAGTGCAAAACCTAATAGCGATTTGCAGCGAAGAGACCACTTGGATTGGAGATGGTGTGTGTAAGGGTTTGCATTTAATGAAGTGGTTTGCAGTGGAGCTTGAGCACATTAAGAAACTAAAACAAGGTTTATTTTATACCAATGTCATGACTGTACCATTATTACTGTACAGTACTCAGCAGTCTTTCGAGTTATATTTGTTGAAGTAAATATTGTTGACCGTTCTTTCATTTTTAGGACTGTTGTGATATTTTCTATTTCGCCTATTCTGTAGATGCATGCGCATAAGCACCTCATTCCTGCTCGTTCCTCATTCTTCCTTCCATGTGGCAAGTGCTGGCTTTTATGCATTGTGTTATTGCTCAGCGTTGTTTGCTGAGTATATTATGTTGGCGCTTGCCTCTTCTTTTGCATGGATGCCCTGATGATGCCCAATGGGCGAAATATTGGCATAAGTAAATCTATTCGGTGCAGCTGAGAGCCTGTTATGTACGGTGTGCAATGGAGATATTTTCCGATGTGAAAACTACGCTGCAATGGAGTCTGAGAGTTTTACGGAAATAATAATAATACAAACAAAACAAAAAAGTAAATTATCGTGTCCGTTCCCAAAGGGAACTCACGACGGCCGCTAACACCCGATAGGGTTTATAATAATAATAAATAATAAAAAAACTAAAAATTTCACGGTTCGCCGAGTTTTCCGAATCCGCCGTGGGAACGCCACCACCCTCTATGATCAAAGGTGCAGATGCAGCGCCTAAACGGTGGGAGGTGAGTAGAGTGGTCAAGTGGTCAAAGACCGAAATCCCATTAGCTGCATCCATCCAGCATGGATGTAGCTAATAATAATAATCATAATAATATTGCGTTGAATGTTTGGAAATGCGCAATGTGCCTGGTCTAGATCTAGCACTGGAGATGATGGAATGATTCTACTGCAGTGTCTGATAAAGACTCGGTTTCCTCGGGAATGCGATGCGATGGGCATGTGTTCTCACTGCCCAGGTGGTCGTAGTCCGATTGGTCGAAGCCAGTATAATTCATGATGGTCTCCAGATGTAGGTTGTGCTCATCACCCTGTGGTATGCCCGTGTTCGGGTGAAAGCTGCATGTGTAGTCGTCCACCGAGCCACATTGCTGTGAACTGTCCTGGAATCGCGCCTTGTAAGATTTTGTGTTGGAGAGCCCATCCCGAATACTGTTGCAATAACGAGCAGAGATGGATCCAGTGTTGATGATTGATGTAGAAGATTCAGCTAGGGTATTGTCCAGCCGTGCGTGCACCTCGTGACCGCGCTTCGTATTTTCTAAGCGCATTCTCTCGTCGCACTGCTGTTGTTTCCTAACCTTGCTGGCGACGAGAAGGTTCGCGATGGCACAAATGAGCAGTACAGTTCCCACAGCCAGCGTGGCGATTTGAACAGCTGCCGTGGTGGTTGCAGTGCCATCACCTGAATAGAAAGGATAAAGGGAAAAATTGGACTTTACAAATAAAATTCTTCTGCACAACCCCAAGTTTATTTGTTGTCATCAGGCTGAAGGTTTAATTTTTTTAAATGATTATCGGTATAATGTACTACGGGGATATGCAACATCTAGCCAAGAATGAATTTCCTCGCTTTGGACAGTATGGTGTGGTGAATGTGGGCCAAGAGTGCAATGTGGAGTGGTGGAGTGTTCCAAAATTTTAAATTGCCAAATTTGTCGCAGCTTCTCCATTATGCTACGGCTATTGCCATTTTCAGCATGCTGCAAATATCCCAATATAATTTACCAGTTGCTGAAAAATTCATGTTTGAAAACTATTATTCAGAGAGCGATGCACTGAATTGGATATAAGTCGCCCTTTTCCATTTTGAACTCGGATGGCGAGCCAATTTGATTATGGAAAAAAAGGAGGAGGACAGAAATGTTACGAGTTATGACTAACTGTTCGCCAGCGTAACCAGATCTTGTTCAGTCAGCGAGTGGTACAAAATGGCACAAAACTGACAAGGAGTACTGAGACATTCAACGACCTGGCACCTAGCGATAAACACTTCCCCCGAGGTGCAAACCACCAACCTTCCAACTTGGAAGGCTCCGGGTAGGAAAGGTTGACCCGACTTGGGCGGTGTGTGGCTTTGCTTCGTCGAGTTGTAGTGAGACCGGTATGTCCAACAGCCTTACTACTTTCGTCATCATCCAGTAACTTTCAGCATTCTTTGTTGCCGTGGGACGCAGCTCGTGCTGTTCTTCGTTGCGCTTTCCTACCCCACTTGGACCTTGTGGAACCTGAGCCTTCCATTTTGGAAGGTTGTTGGTTTGCGCCTCGGGAAAGTGTTCGAGCTACATGTATGTGCCAGGTGGTTGAATGTCTCAGTACTCCTCGTCAGTGTTGTGCCATTTTGTCACACTCACTCACTGTGTGTACATGGAATAATCTAGTTACATTAGTGGACAGTTAGTCATCACGAACTCAGAACATTCTTGTCCTCATGTTTACAAATGTCACTGACATTCATTCCGGTGGTGACAGTCAAGTTTTTCTTCGGATTTTCTCCCTTTTCATTCCCTCAAATTATGGATACACTTATATCTTGTTTACAGTTAGTCATAACTCGTAACATATTTGTCCTGGAATGGACTCGGATGGAGAGCCAAGGATGAATTTATAGAAGAAAAAAAAACAGGACCAAAAAACTACAAGTTACGGCAACGCTATAATATCCACTAACACCACCAGTTACTTAACAATCAGCTCATGTCGGTCAGTGTCGTGCAATGTTATCGCATAGGCTGATTGTTTTGTAACTGATGGTGTTAGTGGACATTATAGCGTAACTTGCAGTTCATTGGGCCTTTTTTGTTGTGCTTCTCCTTTTTTTATTCTATTTTTCTTCACGTAGCACCATCTTTTTGGAGTAGTATTCTTATTAATTGTGTCATCCTTGGTATAACCGTAAGCATTACATGTAGTGCATGGTAATAATGACGCTAGACCAAAAAAGAAATAATCACTTGGTGCAAAAAGAAGAAAAGTAACAATAATGCCCCAGATTGCTAATTACAACTAACCTTAACTCATGCAAGTACAGCACTTCACAAGTACAAGCCAAGAGCACTACATCGTATGTTTGAACTCCTACCATAATTATGATGATGTGTACAGCACATGCACAGGTGCACACCAGTACCACCAGACTGAAATACTCCATCTGAATATGCTTCACACTAGTGCAGCAAGGTACCGCCAGAGCGCCCCGTCTCACGAGAGCGATCCACCTTGATTTTACAGCCAGGGAAAGGAAAATCGCATGGCGGAGTGCAACGGAGTTTGTACGGTGTGAGAACCTTAGTGTACTAAGGTCACACTTAGCAAGGTTTTGTGTGGATCTTGTGTCCACTTGAAGATAAATTGAGTACGGATTTACTGCACAATGTGTAATGTGTGTACAAGGTTCGTGTCGTATGACCTATAGACAGAAAACCACCTCCACAATACGGCCACAAAAGGACGAGATGGTGGGGCGCTCTGGCAGTACTCTACGGTAATAGACACCCTTAGCAAACAACGATAACGCTATTTTTTCGGTACTCGTACCTTGATCACCCAAATAGCGTTGAAGCTGCAGCGTAAAAACGTTATGGGGGCTGATTTATCGTTGTGACCAACGGTACGCGTTTTGGCCAAATATTGCATAGTCCGTACGCATTTCACCTTGTATGGCGTATATGGTGACAAAAATGATTGTACCGCGCGAAATCAAAACTATTCTCGTGGCAACAGCGTACTAAAAATAGCGTGCATCTTGCTAAAGGTCGAACTAAAATCACGGTATTTTCCCCCTTACGATAATACCGTTACAACATAACGTTTTTGCTAAGGGTGTTTAATGCTAGATAAACTCACCTGCTGTGCTGGATGTCGGCGATGAGAAGAGAGCTTCCCCACGCCAAGTTGGCATGCACACAAATGATCCCTCGGTGTCAATGCACTGTGATGTGTCCGTACAGGGATTCTCAGCAGATGTTTGACACTCGTTGATATTTTCACAAACGTCATCTTTGCCTAGAAGGACAGCATAATCATTGACAGTCGCGGATTGTTAGCATCGGTTTCAAGGAAGAAATTATATATAAGCCCTTGCCCCAGTTGTCTACAGGTGTTGTCAGTGCAGCTGCATATCCTTGCAGTTGCTAGCTGCTCTTGCTAAGCAGTCCCCTTTCCCAGGCACTCTCAAATGGCAGTCTTGTAGTTAGATGAGTTTACTGATTATAGGAAGGAGTAATATGAAATAAATACACGTAGAACAAAGCGTACGAATGCCAAGACCCACTGTAGCATGCACTGCTCTGTAGCTGAAGATTGATTCCGAATGATCAATACTGCAAGGAAGGGGGAATTATGGAATACCATGCGAATTTCATCCACCGTCCGCAGAGGGCTCAATTCGCCGAAAGCAAAGAGTGAAATACACAGAGAGAAGAACCAACAGTTGTAACAATGTTTTTTCGTAACTCTGAGTTTCACTAAATTAATCGATCATCAGACAAAAATTGGTACTGACCCTGCCCTATGAGTACAGCTATATACATGTACCATGAATGTGGCAAGCTCAGCGTAACAATACCCATGTGATATGTAGCGCGATATGGAGTATGTGGGAAAGTGTTAGCTATCTGTGCATTGCTACGTAACATATTCTCATGGAATCAGGTAACAAAGCTGGCAATTGATGTTATGTAGCGTAGAAGAAGAGAGAAAGTGTAGTTTTCTGTGTATTATTTGAAAGTCTTTTTTCCCCGGCAACGCCAAGAGATACTCTCTAAGAATCTGGTGACAAATTTTGACTAGTAATATTTGTTCTCATGGCGGCACTTCGACACAAGCTCGGAGCGCATGTTGAGGCATCTCGCCTTATCTGCACGGGCGATGAAGTGCTTCACATGATGGCTGCGCAAAGCAGCACAAATGATAGCCAACATCGCAGGTATGCCATCACTTGCCCATAGGGCTTGCCGTCATGCTGCGCCAACATGCCACACAAGCGCTTCAGAAACCGCGTATATTCTGGAGATGTGCTGCCAGCCGTTTTAGAGACAAGGGGAGTAAAGTTCCCACAGTCAGCATGCACAATCCTTTCATTATACTGCAATTTCTTCTGCCTTTCATGTTGAAGAAAACAACTTATCTCTCCGGATACCATGTGTCAATGCCGCATAAGCTGCATGTGGCTGAGTCTTGGCCACATCGGCAAGCTGCTTCACCTCCTTGGTCCACTCTGACCCTCGCTGCTGCACACGATCGGCAACCGCCCCTGACTCCCCGAAAAACGATCCCAAGTACTTGGCCACACTCGTTACAATACGGATGCCAGTGCCGGAGAAAATGCAGCACGCTTCCTCCTCCATCTCAGGCTTGACGAGAAGAAGGGTCTTGTCGTGATTAGTATTGTAACCATACAGCTCGCTCTGAACTTGAAGATCATCCCACCACCTGCGCAGGCAAACCAACTGCCCGGCCGCGCCAGAATCATCCGCATACCAAATCTGCAGTACTGACGTGTGGGCAACCTGCAGAGTCGTTACCAAAGGCAAAGTCGAAATCGCATAAAACACTAGGGACAAGGGGTCGCCCTGTGTCGTCCTCTCATCCGAAGAAATTTCACCACCGACAGAAACAAACAGTCTAGCAGGAGAACTGTACGAAGTTGTTAAAATTTTCGCGAGGGGCGGACGCAAGTACTGAATGTTATGTAACGCTAGTCGCCTGTCTCTTTAAACAATTGAAGGCATTGCAAGCATCAACTAAGAGAATCGCATCGGTACATTGATCATCGTAAAGAGAAAGTACAGACAGCCACCTTTATGCCCGCAGGAAACCCTGAGCATTTCTGAATGAAACCGCACGCTTCCTGAACTTCGTGATCTAATAACAGTACTGTATGAGCTGCCACGATTCAGGTTGTGTGTGCTTCCCCTAGCTGCATCTCATGTATGCCACTTAAGTGGTCTGTGTAGAAAAAAAGAATGAGTGTTGTGACATCTGTTGACCTCATACACACTCATATTATACCTCCTATTCTATCTACATACGGTGGAACCTGTCTAAGACGACCGCTCATGGGACCTTCAAAACGCGGTCTCAATTACGAGGTGGTCTCCATACCCAGGGTCATTTGACTGGGACTAGCATCTCTTGGTGCTAGTTTCAGTGGTCCTCTAGGACAGGTGGTCGCCTTATCCGAGTGGTCTCCTTGACAGGTTTTGCTGTATATCTACACCTGCTTGTCTATATACATGTATGTTGAGTCTCGAAGTTCTCATAGCAATTTCACAGCTGTGGAGGTGTATTATCATTAGCAATCTCCTGAAAGCAGCATGTTGAGAGTCGATATTGTCAGCAAACGCCACCAACATACCTTGCCAGCGGAATCCGATTTTGCAAAGACATTGGTATGATCCCACGGTGTCATTGCATAGCATATCAGCAGAGCAGTCAGCCTGGCCATTACAGCATTCATTAATGTTATCACAACGAGGAGATGTTGGCGATGTGGGTTGTAGAATATCCTGGAAGCCAGCATCACACCTACACTCATACGACCCGATTGTATTTAAGCAAGTCGAGTTCTGTGGACATGTGGCAGCACTGCTACTGGTTGGAGAACATTCATCGACATCTGAACATGTTCCCCCAGATCCTGGGATTGGAAAGAATAGCAGGCACAATTAGTTGAGAGTCTTATGTTCAGTTGTTGTGAGGGCGACTGAATTGTCATTTACTATTTGGGGTAGTACTCGTGAGGCTCAGGTCATTAGATTAGGTCTTGAAAGCGATGACCTCAGGAGTCGTTAGAAGTCAATTTTCTAACGACGTAACATATTCTCGTGGAATCAGGTAACAAAGCTGGCAATGGATGTTATTTCACGTAGCTGAAGAGAGAAGGTGTTAGTTTTCGGCGTAATATTTCAAAACCTGTTTTCCCACCAACGCCAAGAGATTTTCTCCAAGAATCAGGTGACAAATTTTGACTGGTAATATTTGAATTGAAGGCATTGCAAGCATCAATTAAGAGAATTGCATCGGTACATTGATCATTGTAAAGATTTTGCATATCATATGTAGGCAGCCACCTCTATGCCCGCCTCGTTGCTCCCCTCGTTGCCGGCAGGAAAACCTGAGCATTTCTGAATGAAAGCGCACGCTTCCTGAACTTCATGATTTGCATACAGTACTGCTTGAGTGTTGTGGCACCAGTTCACCTCATACACACTCATATTTCACTTCCTATTCTATCTACATACATCTACACAGCCTTTGTCTATCTACATGTATGTTGAGTCTTGAAGTTCTCATAGCAATTTCAGAGCTGTGGAGGTGTATTATCATTAGCAATCTCCTGAAAGCAGCATGTTGAGAGTCGATATAGTCAGTAAACACCACCAACATACCTTGCCAGCGGAATCCGGTTTTGCACAAACATTCGTATGATCCCACGGTATCATTGCATAGCATATCAGCAGAGCAGTCAGCCTGGCCATTAGGGCATTCATCAATGTTTTCACAACAAGGAGATGTTGGCGATGTGGGTTGTAGAATATCCTGGAAGCCAGCATCACACCTACACTCATATGACCCGATTGTATTTAAGCAAGTTGAGTTCTGTGGACATGTGACAGCACTGCTACTGGTTGTAGAACATTCATCGACATCCGAACATGTTCTCCCAGATCCTGGGATTGGAAAGAAAAACAGGCACAATAAGTTGAGAGTCTTATGTTCAGTTGTTGCAAGGGCGACTGAATTGTCATTTACTAATTGGGCTAGTACTCGTGAGGTTCCTATAATTAATTAGGTCTTCAAAGCGATGACGTCAGGAGTCGTCAGAAGTCAATTTTCTAACGACAAATACGGACTTTTGGGTCCACTCCGCCCATGACGAAGTACCGAATTTACTGGAGTATAGGCAGGACTTCGTACACTAAAAATTCACCCAAAAAAGAAAAATGCGGCTTGTACAAATTGGTCACACGCAGCAATCTGCATCTATCAGTATCTCTCAAACGGGGAATTCCCCGATGACTCATCGTTGCACGGCGCATTTGGGTTAGAGCCCAAAGGATTCGCTTGAACTTCACGGATCTGGAGAAATATGAATCGCTGTTCTGTGTTGAGCAAAACTTCAGAGCCGAAGAAATTTGTTGAGGTAGGCACAGTATCTGACTCAGGCACAATGGGTATGCTCTCAAGTGGCATGAAGGCGATTCTGCTGCCCCTGCTGGACATCTAGTTGCATGATTTGGAGAGAGAGATCTGTAGCTTGCTGATGAGCACAAGATGGAGAAGTTCTGCGACTTGTGAGTGAAATTTTAAAAACACTGCAGTTGCGTACACCAGCTCAGGCGCTCACCAGCGTGTGCCCTGTCGGGAATACGTGCAATCAGTAGTGATCCTATCTACATACATCTACACCTCCTTGTCCATCTACAGGTATGTTGAGTCTTGAAGTTTTCATAGCAATTTCAGAGCTGTGGAGGTGTATTATCATTAGCAATCTCCTGAAAGCAGCATGTTGAGAGTCGATATTGTCAGCAAACACCACCAACATACCTTGCCAGCGGAATCCGGTTTTGCACAGACATTGATATGATCCCACGGTATCATTGCATAGCATATCAGCAGAGCACGTAGCCTGGCCATTACAGCATTCATCAATGTTTTCACAACGAGGAGATGTTGTCGATGTGGGTTGTAGAATATCCTGGAAGCCAGCATCACACCTACACTCATACGAACCGATTGTATTTCCGCAAGTTGAGTTCTGTGGACATGTGACAGCACTGCTACCGGTTGTAGAACACTCATTGACATCCGAACATGTTCTCCCAGATCCTGGGATTGGAAAGAAAAACAGGCACAATTAGTTGAGAGTCTTATGTTCAGTTGTTGTGAGGGCACCTGAATTGTCATAAATTTAACTATTTGGGCTAGTACTCGTGAGGCTCATATAATTACATTAGGGTTTGAAAGCGATGACGTCAGAAGTCGTCAGACGTCAATTTTCTAACGACAAATACGGACTTTGGGGTCCACTCCGCCCATGACGAAGTACCGAATTCTCTGGAGTATAAGCAGGACTTTGTACACTCAAAATTCACCTAAAAAAGAGAGATGCGGCTTATACAAAATTCATTGTTCACTCGCAGCGATCTGCATCTATCAGTATCTTTCAAACGGGGACTTCCCCGATGACTCATCGTTGCACGGCGCATGTTGGTTAGAGCCCAAAGGATTCGAGCGAACTGGAGAACTATGAATCGCTGTTCTGTGTTGAGCAAAACTTCAGAACCGGAGAAATGTGTTGAAGTAGGCACAGTATCTCACTCAATCACAATGGGGCAGCTCTCAAGTGGTATTAATTCGGTTCTGTTGCCCCTGCTGGACATCTTCATTCTCTGGAAGCAAAACCTTCGTGACTTTTTCACATGATTTTTAAGGAGTTACTGTGCTCAACACAAGATGTTAAGTGTTCTATAGGAAGAGAAACACTTCACCACGCTCAATGGACATGTGTATAATATCTACAAGATCGATTGATGGGAATAGTGTCTCAGTCTGAGTCGCCATCGCTCGATTCATTACGGCTGGAACCAACCAAAGTGGCAGGTCGATCGACGTGTTCTCGCATGTCACGGAGGAGCTTCTCCGCGTCCCTGATCGTCTTTGCTGTTACTAGTACGAGATTTACACCGGTGCCTTCCCTAGTATCTAGGTGGAGACCGCGGTGGCGCTGGTGGGTGTACTTTGGTATCGCCTTGGCTCTCGAGAATGCCCCAGAACGACGCGTACAGGCAAAGCCGAACATTTCGCATTTTCCTCCGCGTTGTAGTCGTCCCATAACATCATGACTTCCGCGAGGAGATCTCGCCTGTTCTCCTATGCTACTAAGGAGACATCAGAGTTGAGGCTGCTGAAAAAAGCAAGATCTTAAATTGAACGAGGATTTCGATTGCCGTAGTATCTCTAACATAAGCACGGTCCTTTAATTTTTCAATGTACCTCCGCCCCGTGCTATTAATGGAGACGTTCCTTTATTGGAGAATGTTCCATTATTATTTCAACCTCATTTCAGAGGTTGGTGCACCGCGCGCGATCGGGCAACTGACCGTGATAACATGTACATGCAATGTGCGTACATACGTGTATACTACCGCATGGTGTCCCTTATTGGAGGCCCGGGTGGTCAGAGCACTTCACAGTGAGCACTTCACAGTGTGCTTATAATGGAGAATGATCACTTTATTTATTGAATGCCGCCCAAAGGTGTTCTATTATTGGAGATGTGCTATTATTGGAGACGGTGCTTATATTAGAGATAATACGGTATGAACTTCTTGGCTTTGCTGCGCGCTCTGTGCGAATTGATGAGTGTCAGATGTTTGCGTTTGGAGTTTTAACATCTTGCCGACCTGTTCGCACTTTGGCTGGTGTTTTGGGGGATGGGGCAGACTTCAAAACGCTAGCTGCTATCCCTTTGACACTCTTTTTGCTCCTCAGTTCCATTGCCCTGCACTTTCTCATTCTAAACCAAAAACTAGCAACGGGTGTTGAGCTGTTAGCACAGTGTTCTTGTCGACAAAACGTCATCGTTTTGCTTGGTTTACAGCACGACACCTTTGCCTTGCGATGACTGACAGCTTTCCAGAATATGAACCATGCCTTCCTACTGTTCGGAAATGTCATCTGTTGTTGTTTCAGGCCGACAGAGCCACACAGAGAGCGACAGAACAGCATCGAAAATTAGTGAAAAAGGCACGAAGTTTTTGTTTCCGGAGGAAGTAGTTGCATGGCAGAATGTACAGAAGTAGGGGTAGGTTGCACTTTTTGAAGCTCCCGTAAATCTGTCTTGGTAGAGCCCAGCCGGCATCAGGCCGGACTGGAGGTGGTTTCCGTAGGGTAGCAGTAAGTTTTTCTAGCAGTGCTCGTAGAAATTGGTGACCTCCGCCATGCCTGGGGCCACCACGAGAACAAACACTCGCGCGACTGCCCTGAGTGATGAAGAGCTGAGGCTGATGGCGTCTTTGCCGGGCATTGAGTTATCTGTAGTAGAAATCCTGAAAACGTTGGCCGCACTTGTCTCGGAATCGGCTGATCGGGAGACGCGCCTAAACAAACGGGTTGACGAGCTGTCAAGGCAGCTCAAAGACGTGAACGAAGAGTTAGGCCTAATTTACACGACAACGATTGAAAAACGTTTTTCAATCGTTTTCGAAACGTTTTTGCTGTTTACACGAAAACGATAATCGTGTACACTGCAACACTTTTTCGGCGCGCAATGGTCACGTGCAAAAAGTTGGCCTGGCGCAGGCTGGCGGCGGCATGTTTTGAGTACAAGGCTCGTACTAGTAAAACGTTTTTGCCGTTTACACGAGAACGAAATGGAACGAAAACGATTGAAAAACACTTTGAGGCCGTTTTTCGTTTGAAACGTTTTTGAAACGTTTTTCAGCGTTGTGTAAACGCTCTTATCAAAATCTGTGGAAGCGTATTCTTTTGACAAAAACGTTTTTCAATCGTTGTCGTGTAAACGAGGCCTTAGTTTCTCTCCGAGAATCCGCCATTGCCTTGCGAAAAGCTACCCCAAGGCCAGTTCAAACACAGCAGGGTACGGGTGCGGGTCAACCTTCGCGTAGGCGTACCAAAGCAGGCACTGCGGGTTCAGGTACTCGAAAGCATGACACCACGATGTCCCGTAGCGTCCCCAGCAACATTTCCCGTAGCGGTGACGAGTGTGAAGAGGATGGCAGCGTCCCTTGCAACATCTCCCGTAGCAGTGACGAGTGTGAAGGGGATGGCGACCAAGATGCAACCTGTGTAGACGAAGACAGATTCCAACCAGTCCAGAACTCAAAGCGGAGCAAGAAGCAGTGCGTGCTCCAGGTGATCGCAGATGACAGCTGGAAGATGGTGTCGTCAGAGCCTCCCAGGGCGAAGAAAGCTGTGCTGTACGTTGGCAACCTAGGCGACCAATGCACCGAGGAACGCCTCAGGGAGTTTGTGCAACACAGAGTAGCTGCGGTTGGGACATCTGCGGATGTGCACGATTGCAGTATGCACGAATCAGCAACGGGCAAAATCTCAGCGAGACTGACAGTTGACGCTGCAACAGTTTCTACAATTACCGCTGCAAACTTCTGGCCCCGGCCACTTTATGCCAGGCAATGGCGTTTCAAAGAAAGCAGTGGAGCACGCCATGATAATTCTAGCCCACCTGCCAAAACTGATGACATCACCAAGTCTGACCCTCCTCCTCAGAACAATGATAGTCTCCCACCTGCCGACCCTCTCCTGAGCAATGACCAGTAAGACGTTGAAATTGCTGGTTACGAATGCCTTTGGTATCCGTTCAAAGTTTGGCGAATTTCAGCACACCCTTCTGGCATCTGATGCAGATATTGCTGTAGTCACAGAAACCAAGCTGACCCTGGATAAGATGACGCAAGCCGAAGTGACTCTTCCTGGGTACTCCCCTCCAGTAAGACGAGACCGAACACCACAGGGTGGAGGCGTGGCTGTGTGGGTGAAATCCCACCTAGCTTTCCAAGAGCTGGAAGCTGTTCCAACCCTTGATCAAGAAGTTGTATGGCTTTCTATCCGCATAAGACCTGGCCGCAAAGTTGTCTTGTGTGCTGCCTACCGCCCAGGGTCTCTTCCTGGCAACGATATCAGTATGGTGGATTACTTGGACCAGACCATTGACGTTGCCCGGGTGGATGCACAGCACCTCATCATCGCTGGCGATTTCAATGCGCACAACACTGCCTGGCTGGGCAGCAGTAGAACAACTCCAGCTGGGAAGAAACTGGAGGACCTCTGCGCACTACATCACCTCCAGCAGCATGTGACGGAGCCTACTCGTGGAAATGCCCTCCTCGACCTCATCATGAGTGACCTGGGCAACCCGACAGTCCGGCTCGGCCCCCCAATCGGTAGATCTGACCACGCCACCATCTTGGCAGAATTCAAGACAGAACTATGTCGAGAGCCCAAGACGGCCAGAACAGTCTGGCAATATGGCCGCGCTGACTGGGACAGACTAAACTACCACCTTAGGAGTGTGGACTGGGATGCCCTCATGTCTGAGGATGCAAAAAGCAGCTGCACCAATATTACCTCTGCCATCCTAGATGGAATGAACCAGTTTATCCCATCCCAACTTCTCTGTACTCGGCCCTCTGATCCCGCTTGGTGGACGCCAGCTTGCAGCAAGGCCGTGAAGGCGAAACAGAGTGCCTGGAAGTCCCTCAAGAGGCGACCAGACTCGCCCCAATGTCAAGCTAACTATACTCTCGCTGTCCACCGGTCTTCTGATTGCCTACGTGATGCCCAGAATCACCATCTAGCAATAGTCCGTGCACGACTCTAGACCGGCAGCCTTCGAGACAAACAGTGGTGGTCAACCATCAAGCAGTCCATCGGAACCTCCCGAAATAGCTCCATCCCGATTCTTGTCGACCCTGCTGGCAAAGAACATGCCACGAACATTGAGAAAGCAAACTGCCTCGGTCACTACTTCGCGGAGAAATGTAGCCTTGGTGCCAATGACCTGCCAGACACACCTCTTCCCCCTATTCGCCAACGCACAGGCAATAGGCTGAAGACCGTACACTTCCGCCCTGCCACAGTCCAGCGAGCTCTCAAGAACCTGGACGCTTCTAAAGCTACTGGCCCTGACGGCATTCCGGCGCAAGTGCTCAGGAAGTCAGCGCAGTCACTCGCCAGCCCTCTGGCAAAGCTATTCACCCAGTGCTTCCGGGACGGGGTGCAACCTGCATCCTGGAAGATCGCGAACGTTGTCCCTATTTTCAAGAAAGGCTCCAAGTCTACCCCGAAGAACTACCGTCCGATTTCCCTCCTCTCTATACTCTCTAAGGTGATGGAGGCCATCATCAATCGCAGCATCACTAACTTCCTGGAAAGCAATCAGGTTCTCTCCGGACGGCAATTCGGGTTCCGACGCGGCCTGGGCACGACTGATCTTCTCCTCTCACTTCAGCATGAGTGGAGTCGGACGTCCAATGCTGGGGGTGTGACCCGAGTCCTTGCTGTCGACGTGGCCGGCGCATTTGACAAAGTGTCGCACCGCGGTGTAGTTCACAAGGCCAGATGTCTTGGGCTAACTGGCCACCTGCTGTCATGGTTGAAAAACTACCTAGAGAGCCGCCAGATCCGGGCCGTAGTTGGTGGACAAACATCAGCCACACACGCCATCCGAGCAGGTGTGCCTCAAGGAAGCATCCTGGGGCCCACTCTCTTCTTGATCTACATTAATGACGCTGAGGACCACCTTCCCCAATCGACCAGCCTTGCCACGTACGCAGACGACACAACGCTCTACAAGTGTATTCGGTATCTCGGCAACCTCGCAGCTGACTGTGATGATCTCCAGACCGCCGTCAATGCCCTTGCTGCCTGGGGTGCGACCTGGCGAGTGACATTCGAGCCCGCCAAGTCGTACCTACTCCACGTCAGCCACCACCGTCGGCCCTGGGACTGCCCTCCGGTCACATTCCAAGGTGAAATGGTTCCTGAAACCCAGTGCCTGAAGCTACTTGGGATAGCCTTCGACAGTCAACTGACCTTCTGCCAGCAGATTCGACAGTCAGCCTTGCGCGCCACACAGCGACTTGGCTTCCTGAAGAAAGCCTCAGCAGTGCTTGACCCTGGCTGCCGACTCACGGTCTACAACGGCTTTGTTCGCCCAGTCTTAGAGCATGGCATGCTAGTCTGGATGGGTGCTTCTCAGACGGTGCTGGCCCAACTCGATGCTGTACAGCGGAGAGCCCTGCATCTGATCGGCGAAGGCGCATATCTGCCAAGCCTCGAACTCCGGCGCAAAGTGGCTGCTCTCTGCTATCTCTACAAAATCCACTACCTGACAGGCCCACTGATGCTAACCCGAATGCTGCCCCCCTCCCAAGCAGTACCAGACCTCGACCAACATCCTGCCAACACCAGGCAGCAGGCGCGGGTGGCGGCCGGCCACCGCTACCAGCTGCAGTCTGATATCCCAGCCAATTCTCGCAACAACGTCCGCCGGTCGTTCCCTGAAGGAGTGCTGGACACCTGGAACCAGTTGCCTCGCCAACACCTCCTGGATCAGCCCGACCAGAAGAGGTTGCAGTCCTTCAAGTGCAGCGTCCACCGATTCCTGCGCTTGAGCCACTGGGACTGGGCGACCGACCGGCTGTAGGGACTCTGCGTGGTGGTTTTCTGGACGTTACTGTGAGAGAGTGAGTCTGTGCACAAATATTATGTATTATTACGCGTCTGCGTGAGTGTGCACATGTGTGTCTGTGTGTGCGTGTGTGTGTGTGTATGTGTGTGGTGTGTGTGTGTGGTGTGTGTATGTGTGTGTGTGTGTGTGTGTGTGTGTGTGTGGTGTGGTGTGTGTGTGTGTGTGTGTGTGTGTGTGCGTGTGTGCGTGCGTGCGAGCATGTGTGTGTGTGTGTGTGTGCGCGCGCGCGCGCGCGCGCGTGTGTGTGGGTGGGTGGGTGCACATGGTTGGTATGTGGTGTTTATGTGAGCGTATGATAATAATCTCTTCAATAATATTAATATCTTTATTTCAAGATTACCCAACGCTGGCGAACGCCTATCAGGTTGATCTCCTATTTGAACATGCGCATATGTGTGTGTATGATGTGCCCTAGCTCATTTAGAATTATTATTATGTTATACACGTAGATCATGTCCATGATGCCTTTCCTCTGCGCAGGTCGACCGCACTATTGTTTTTAAGATTCACATAATTATTACTTCTGCATAATGCATTACATACTATGATCATGCTGGCTCCATCCCTTATCTCCTAAGCTACCCCCCCCGGTGCGTCTGCCCAGTGTTGACTCCGAGACCCACGGTCGGACGAGCTGCCCAGGCCTCACCACCACTGCCGTTTCCGTGCTGCCTTCTCGATACATACGTATGTACACTGTATATCATGTGCACATTCACATGTCTGAAGGTTTGTGGTTTTTCAATAAAAAAAAATAAAAAAATGGTTTGGAGAGAGGAGATCTGTAGCTTGCTTATGAGCCCAATATGGAGAAATTCTGTGACTGGTGATTGAAATTATAAAAAATTGCAGTTGCGTACACCAGCTCAGGCGCGCGTCAGCGTGTGCCCTGGCGGGAATACGTGGAATCAGTAGTGGCCCTGAAAGGGTAAAATTACCTTCCGATGCCCCCGCTGTGACAGAGCACTTTCAGTAGTGGCCCTGAAAGGGTTAGATTACCTTCCGATGACCCCGCTGTGACAGAGCACTTCCAAGCACTATCATAATTATCACAATAGAATTTACATGTACCTGAGAATCCGTTTGAACATTGGCATGTGTACGACCCTGGTGAATCAATGCACACCTCATTTGTTCCACAGGGTGTGAATCCAGCAACCTCACATTCATTGGCGTTGGTGCATTTCCCACCACCTCCTAACAGGACAGGGACACATCCGACCAAAACACACACAAAACAGTGAACATAGTATGCAGCATCTCTGCATTCTGAACTCGACGAGACTATACAAAATAGGATAACATAGTGCTACAACTGTCGATTCTGCACTTTGTTACCATGGTAATGCTACCTAGATGTACATGTGGCTAATCATACATGATTGGAAGCTGTGACCTCAGTAAAAAATAAAAAAAATAAATAAAAATCGCTTGATCACAGAGTACCCCAAGGAACCACGTCCACTGTAAAGTAAATCCTCTACTTAGGTGAACTTAGAAGCGGTCACGTCAGCAGTAGCTTGGCAGGAAGAATAGGAGAAACAAGCTGTGTTTGAAATATTTTGTACAGATGCGAAATGGACCTGCTGCCAGGGCTGCATAGACCATCCTCTTTGACGCCTTCTTGGTACCACACGTGAGCACTTTTCCCGCCGTGTGTGTGTGTGTGTGAGTGTGTGTGCATTCACTCTCCACTACGCTCAACCTCCAGCTTGTGCCTGCGGTACGACTGTGCACACAGGAGTCCACCGATCCGGTGAAATGCTCCCTTTCGTGATTCTACCCCTACCCATTGTGTTAGGCGTGATGCAGGAAATATTTTTGGCGTGGCACAAAGAACGTTCAATGCACAATGCATGCACATCGCAGTGAAATCCTGCATTTCACGCAATGTTCAAACTTACATGGGCGAAGCTCTACTTCAATTATATGCTTCCGGCAAAAGTGATTCGCATCGTGCGGTGTTTGCAATGGACGTTGAATTTGGCTCAATTTCCGGCAAAGCGGCTTGCAATAAAACTGCAACCAGAGGCATTTTTATTTTAAAGAAAAGCTCTCCATGGCAACACTTGTCACTTGTGACTCACTCCATTGTACTGTGTGTCCGTTTACACAGTTTTTTTCTCTACAAAATCCACATATCTCCAGACACTGAGGTGAATGATAGCAAAGGCACATACAGTAAAAGTTGTGTTTGCCGGACCCTTTAACCAGCCGAATCCTGTATTGACGGGATATACGTTCATGCACCGAAGTGCTGTGGATTGAAAGTGCTTTGCCCGGATCACGAGGATTTCTGCCATATCAGGAGAGTTTCCGCTGCACCAAGGGTGTCCAGTTAGGGCAGGCTTTACTTAAAGTTCAACTCTGATGTCATCTACTGTGGTGGGCATGGAAATCCAGTCGCACGTCTAGCGACCCCAGGGCGCTGGCCATGCAGCCGTCGATCAGCGGAACAAGTTACATGCATTATGCGCTGCAGTGCGCTGGTCGCATTCGGATCAGCACGACTCTGTGCACTGCACACAGCGTTCTGTAGATCTACGCGTTGAGGGCGCCGGCCCCGGTCCATTGACTGGATTTCCATGTCCGCTACAGTACATGTGCAAGACAAAGAGTACCGTACAGTCAAATACCTCAAATGACCAAGTGCGGATTCCTGTGATATCAAATATCTGTATAGACTCACGGTAGTATCCTGATTTGCAAGTACAGTAATAACTTGCCAACGTTTCAACACAGATTTCGTTCATTGCACACAGCGAGGTACTCATCGCACATTCATTTATCTGCTGGCAGGTGGATCCGTTATTCGACAGCGTCAGCACGGGCAGACATGCGCAGTTGTAGTTCAAGGTGCCCGGCAGTAGCGTGCATGTTGGAAAGAGGGCACACTTGGTGCTGTACCGATGGCGGCAAATGTCCACGTCCTGGCAGCCAAGATCACGACCGCCGAAGATTTTCCAGCTGGGGCACTCACAGAAGAACTTGGTTCTCTTACCATCATGATAGCATCCCACACGTGCTCCTTTGCATGTGTCTAGCACTGTACATGGAGAGGAGAAGGCAAAAAAAATCACGTTAAACCAGTGCAAAAAATGTGAATACAGATAAACCTCTTTAGAATGAACACCAATGGGCTAATGGTGTTTGTGCGCAATAACGGGAGTTCTTCGTTTGCACACCTTATACTAAGAAATTGATGGACATCACGCAACTGAATTATGAAGAAAAGAGGGTTTGTCAACTGACAACCGCTCTATTCAGTTGCTATTTACAATCTCTGCATGCGCTGGATGGTTCTGATGATGGGTGAGTGGCCGAAACGTCATAATGTTTTGGCCATCACACTAAAGGGATTCTCACTCAGTGCATGCAGTGATTGTGAATAGCAACTGAACAGAGCGGTTGTCACTTGACAAACCTTCTTTTTCTTTATACTTCATAATCAATTTATACTCAGTGAAAACACAGTGATTCATGCGATGGAGTTATGAGTCTCATGATTGCTAGTTCTTCTAGAGCGACAGTTTGTCTTATTAGTGGTCTTCCTAACACGTTTTCTGTGTAGTAAAATACACAGCAAGAAGAAGAAGTCCAGCAAACAATTGGGGAGAATACTAATTGATGAATTACAATGATAAGGGTCGAGGACACAGGGCTTACACAAGGTATACCAGTACATCGGTTATCCGGACACCAAAGTTACATGCACTTCCCTCTACCGGGCGTCCTTTGGGTGAGTTTCTAGTGGAATTTTTTACTACTCTTTTGTCACTTTTTTGCGAAAATAGTGACGCCATATGCCGTATCTATGGCCTTTCTACATCAAAACGCATGTGATTCGGAGTTGCGGATCAAAACGTATGTGATTCGGAGTTACGGACCGATCACCGCGACAGACAGTAGCTATGCTGAAGACATTACTTCAGTAACGTCTGGCGCTAGCCATTTGAGTGAATTTTACCGCACAAATCCCCATTTAGGAGGGCACACACGTCCAAGTTCAGCGAGGGGTGCAAGTTTGATTGGGAACTGAAGACAAAGTGAGTGGCTTAGTTATCTCACACTAATACTGTTCTACATGGATGCAGCTAAGGGGGTCTTTCTCGGCACTTGTGCCAGTGGTTTTGAGACTTATCCACTCACCCCCACCGTTAGGCGCTGCATCTGCCGCTAGCATTTACCGGGTGTTAGCGGCCGTCGTGAGTTCCCTTTGGGAACGGACGCGATAATTTACTTACTTACTTAATACTTTTCTACTCAGCGCCCCACTACGAGGTGAATTGCTATTTCTGGACATTGTACATTTCTGGACATTTCGAGTAAAATAATTTTTCGTCGCGTGTAGAGTCAAGTCAGTCAGGTTGATGAAGTTTTTTCTTGCCGTAGTTGACAGCTGGGCTGTTGTAGTTTCTCCTCGTGTCGGTGCCTTGTTGATAGCCTTTGCTTGTGAGGCATTTCAACGAGTTTTGTTGTACTATGTCGCATGAGAATTTTGAATTTTGAGTAAAATAAGAAGTAATGGACGAATCGTTGGCTTCCCCATGTGCACTCCACTTCAGACGCTGTATAGTATTGGACCTGTTGGCTGGAAGTGTGAAGAGGCCAACTGCAGTCCACCAATAGAAAAATAACCAAAATGGTGCAGTATAGGATGCCTATTGACGCTATTTTACTTTCATGTCCAGAATTCCGTACACTGAAATTTAGGCCGAAAAATTGGCCTGTCGAAAACGTCCTGCTATAAAGTCTCTGGGATCACAGCATGAGCAATTGTCACATATTTGGAAAGATGAAGGATTAGACCATACAATAGATACAAAAAGATATGAAAAAATGTGAAACACACAGCCAGTGGGGCTCTATTTTATTTTCCTGTCCAGAAATTGCTATTCACCTCGTACATGGGAGATTTTGATTCTAGGCCCCATTTCCCATTTTGAAAACAAGCTCAAACCCTATGGACTGAGAAGATAATAGGCACGTTAAGCAATGCGAAAGTTCGAACTTTTGGTGGCGGTGATACTTCGCGAAAATCTATTTCGAGAAAGGAAAGCTTGTGAGGTTTAGCAATGCGAAATGACTTTTTCTCGAAGTTATTTGAATCTTATACAATTAGACCTTGCTTAACCGTACACATCCATTTTCCAGAAACATAACCGGATAGGCGAGGGAACCGGATTATCTACTGTGACACAAATACTGTAAGTATGAACGACAAATGCTGTGAATCGGTGGCCAGCAAGTTTCTTCCCGATGGCGAGGGATCCAGATAAAAAGAGGACCGGATAAGCAAGGTCTGACTGCAGTACCGTACCGTGGCAGCTCAGTTTCAAGCAGGGGGTTGTAAATTTACTACTGACCGTCATCAAGTGTGTACCTTGGAAAGAGAAAGTTACTTTCGAAAATAACTGCAAGTTTGCATCCTAGTTTCCGAAGTTTTGAGCTCCGTTTTGGTTCTCATTCCCAGACTCGAATTTTCTTTCGAACTTTCACGTTGCTAAAAGTCCCAATGGCGACATGACTTGTTATTATAAGAGTAAATAAATATCTACTCATGGATATATTGCTTTAATTGGATGTGCTTCTCAGTCAGTTTTACTTACTGAAATCCACTGATTTGTTCTTCAAACCCATGCGGTCTAATGTGAGACCAAGTGATGCTACTTGAGAGATTGGGCAAAGCGATACATCGTCAATGAAGGTTCCTTTTGAGTCATCTATACTTCTACAGAAAGAAAGAGGAGTTAAAGTATTCCAATTTGTAGGCATCTTATGTATAATAATAATATTATACAATACGCCATCGTTAGTGGTGGTTGATGGGAATGGATTAAAAGTGCACCGTTTGACAACATTTTGTTCCATACAGATTACTTCTTACTGTTCTTGGTTACTAGTAAGAAGTATTTACTTTCATGTATTGATCATCTACTGTGAGCTGCCTGCTGGTCGCACTCATGCGTACCAACACTGTGTGCATCAGCGGAGAGCGTTCGACGTTTCTACGGCATCGGGAATAGATGGCCCCCTCCAGAAGTTTCCGTTTCCAAGGAAACACATCATTGGACACTACACACAACCAGTGCAGATCAGAAGTATAGGTGTTGCGATGAATGTATTATTCCTTCTGATACTGTATAGGAGGAAATTTTGGGTCGGAAATATTTTCGGACAAAGCCGAATTTCCACCTTTCGTACGGATTTTATTTTCGTGTAGTGCTGCATGCTAAATGCACGTGTTCGCAAGCAGTGCGCATGTGTATTGTACCGGCAAAGCAAATGTGCTTATATAATATTATGATAGACAATCTCAATACCAAAAAAATGAACAAAACGCCAAGAATCTGAAGAAAGAAAAAACTCAATCCAATTCTTTGTTGCCATAACGGGAACTGAAACCCAACTGGCAGATGGCAGTTGGCGGTCACGCGGCACCAAAATCACCAAACGTAAGCACTAACAATGTTGAAACATGGTTGCAGGAGACAAACTATAAGTAAGCAAGCAACGCATACAAAGAAACAATCAGACAATTAAAGCACGTTTAATACCGTCTAGGCCACTGACCTGGACAGGCAGCGGTGCAAGAAGCCGTGGTCTCGCCTACGGCCACACGAACCCCTGCACCCGCGGAAGCATGTTATGGCCCAACGGAGCAGGGTAAACGACAAGAGGGCTCCGAAGCTCACCCATCACTACGGAGTAGGCAAGCTCACTATGCTTCTCTGTATAGTGTTCATAATTTCACGTGAACAAATTTTCGTACGGAATCAATTTAACCCTTTCACTGCTGCAGGGTTGTGCACACAGGCTCTGGAAAAAATCCGAAAAATAGGGCCGATGGCCAACTCCACTACGTTATGGTTCAGGCAACTGGGTCGGTGAACTTTTGGGAAATGAAGGCCAAAGCTACCAACATCACACTGACAAACTGGATAGGTTCCCCCAAAAGAGGTACAAAGCTGTATAGGACACGTAAGTTTGCTGAATTTGCCTAAAATACGGCAAAGTCGGCAATTGCAGTTGAAATACCAGACGAAAAAAGGGAAAAAAAGAGACGCAGAACGTAACCAAGCGGGATCTGTACCCGCAACCTCTTGTACATGAGGCAGGGACTGTACCAACTGACCAGCAGTGACTACACATGTGAGGAGAAGACTAAAACCGGGTATTTATACCATGACGTACATGTACGTCATCAGAGCCTGGACGTCATCTAGGATGACGTACATGTACGTCATCCGCGGAGTTAAGTTAAGTACAAAAGAGCCCGTGTACGAAATCGTATGAAAAATGGATTCGGTCCGAAAATTTCCTGCAACACAGTAGCTTGTTCGGTCATTGAGACCTCATAAGAGAAGGACGAGTTGTTGAATGACAATGCATTATTTTATCATTGTGTGCAGAATGATTTTCTACTCCGTCTCCTTGCACTTGTGTGCACTTCCATTCCCCACGTACAAGAAACATGAACGAATAGGGAACAATAACTTTATTATAGCGATACTCACCATCCGAGTTCACTAGTATTAGTGAAGCGGACATTAAGAAAAAAAACAAAGAAAATACCGTGAATGCATTTTCCTAATCGATTTTCTTGAGCCCATCAGCAGGAAAAGTCGTCTCACAATAGAAGCTTTTTATTCCCGTAGCTATGCAGAAGACGCTACGTCAGTAACGTCTGGCGCTAGCCAGGGTCCACACAGCTTTAATTTGGTGTTTGTTTGTTTGTGTCACGCCTGGCGCTATCCCGTATCTGTCCCGTACCGTACCGTACCATCTAACATAGCTGGTCAAAAACAGCTGGCCACAATATTTGCTGGCGCTATCCCGTGTCTGTCCCGTACCGTACCGTACCATCAAACACAGCTGGCCGGCCACAAACAGCTCGCCACAATATTCGTCGTACTATGTATATGACTCCCTGATGTATAGGATTGTCTGGAAAGAAATAGGGAGACGAGGAGGAAATGCAATTAGAATGAGCGTTAGTTGCCAAATAGGTGATAGGATGTGTCAGCAAAAACATACTTTGGAAGAGAGATCCCGTCGTCTCCAAAATAGGCGTGAACGGGCGAGTCAGCGCCGGTCACAGGTAACGTCGGGAGAGAGATCCCGTCGACTCCAGAACGCCCGTAATCGGCAGAGTCAGCGCAAGGATCGACGGGAAGCGACGGGACGGTCTGACGGCATCCAATTTGAACACCAGGAACGGGAACGCAACCGTACTACCGTACAGATCGGGAAGCGACGGGAAGAGTTGGATCGATCCAACTTTTCATACCGTAGACGGGCGTAGACGGGGACGCAAGTGTACAAAACGGCTGCAATTTGAGTGTGAACAGGAAACGGCATCATGCGCCGACTACTCCCGATTCGTACTTGGACAATTTTAGCATTTCGAACACTGCGCTTCCCATGATAACTCACAGAATGGCTAGCACGACTTCAGTTGAATTTTAGCAACATAAAATCAGAAGCGTGACTATTATATCATTTCCTGGTGCTATTATTTGAATGCCACAACTTTCAGGGCTAGTTTTTTGGTCTTCATGAAAACTGGTATTATGAACTTGAGTCCGCTTCTTTCAAGGAGAAATAATTAAAAAGAAGTCCCGAAAAACGAGAAATTAGGTCCGAAAGTCACCCCGTCACGGACCCAGCCTTATGACTTGCGCCGTTCGACGTTGAACGTCGCAAGGACTGCTGCTTGTCGTGTCGTACGAATCGTACAGGATTTTACAGCTCACCCCAGCGCTCCCGACAAGCCCTTATGTCCCGTACCGTCGGTGTTGCGTCGAATGTGAACTAGGCTGTGTTTACATGAGAAATTTCAACCCGGGTTGATTTCAGCCCGGAGTTGAAAGTCTGTACGATAGAAAAAATAGGTGAAGACAGTTGACCCGGGTCAAATAGTGATATGCCGCCAAAAGTCCACTTCTAGAGGCCTGTATAATCAAGTGAATCCGTTCGCGCAAAATTTGCATAAGCTGTCCTGTTCAAACCAGGCGCGAGATACGCACAGAAGTACGTTTGTACGATTTTCTTGGCCCGGGTTGATTTCAACCCTCCCCTTGGGGGGAGGGTTGAAATCAACTTGGGGCGAAATTTCAACCCGGGTCAAGCGCAATGCGTCATGTAAACGCGCCATTCATTTTGTGTACACAACGGGTTGAAATCTGTCCCGGGTCGAACTCAATCCGGGTTGAAACGCCTCATGTAAACACAGCCTCAGGCTGTGTTTACATGAGAAATTTCAACCCGGGTCGAGTTCAGCCCGGGTTGAAAGTCTGTACGATAGACAAAAGAGGTGAGCGTTTACATGAAGTCAGTTGACCCGGGTCAAATAATGATATGCCGCCAAAAGTCCACTTCTACAGTCCTGTATGGTCACGTGAATCCGTTCGCGCGAAATTTGCATCTGCAGTGCCGTTCAAACCTGGCGCGAGATACGCACAGAAGTACGTTTGTACGATTTTCTTGACCTGGGTTGATTTCAACGCTCCCCTTGGGGGGAGGGTTGAAATCAACCCTCGGCGAAATTTCAACCCGGGTCAAGCGCAATGCGTCATGTAAACGCCCCATTCATTTTATGCACATGGCGGGTTGAAATCTGACCCGGGTTGAAACGCCTCATGTAAACACCGCCCTAGGCCAAACACAGCTAGCCAAAAACAGCTGGCCACAATATTTGCTGGCTCCCGTATCTGTACCGTACCGTACCATCAAACACAGCTGGCCACAAACAGCTGGCCACAATATTCGTCGTATTTACGACTCCCTGATGTATAGGGAGATTTTCTGGAAAGAAATAGGGAGACGAGGAGGAAATGCAGTTAGAATGGACGTTAGTTGCCGAATAGGTGATAGGATGCGTCAGCAAAAACATTGTTGTGAAACGACAAGTTCTCGAGAGTGAAAGGCCTTCTCGCTTGTGACATTGTGTTCGTTTCAATGCAGCTGTATCCCGACTTCGCCGTACCGCTGATGTTTACGACGTGGCATACGCTACAGGCGCTATGTGCGGTTTGCTGCGTGCGCTGTAGTTGTATGTTGTATGTGTATGCTTTTCTCATATACGCTGTCATTTTCACGCTATAACTACCTGGTGGTTTTAGTGTTAGTTATTCATTTGTTCATTCATTGTTCATTGTTGTTAGTCGATGGAAGTGAAATATACTGTTGAGAATAAATAGTTGTCCTCGTGCCGTGTGGGGTCGTTCGTTCCTGATACTTTAGAGAACCGGAGGGTTCACAACAAACATACTTTGGAAGAGAGATCCCGTCGTCTCCAAAATAAGTGTGAACGGGCGAGTCAGCGCCGGTCCCAGGAAACGTCAGGACAGACATCCCGTCGACTCCAGAACGCCCGTGATCGGCAGAGTCAGCGCCGGTCCCAGGAAACGTCAGGACAGACATCCCGTCGACTCCAGAACGCCCGCGATCGGCAGAGTCAGCGCCGATCTCAAATCTACAAAACCTAGAACTCAGATCCGAGAACTTGTCTCGGAGAAAGTGGACACTGACGCTGTAAAAGGAACGAACGCAGAAACTGAAATCAAACGGGAGAGGACAAAACTTGCGGCGTCCATTATTATTGCATCCAAAATTTTCAGCGTCGACGTCTTCTTGTGAAGTTCTTGACTCTCCTCTACTTCATCCCCGTCGCCATGAGGGACTGCTGCTGCTGCTACTGAACATGCAACTAACTTGCTATGGTGCGTATAGTGCGGTAGGGGTTCTGGGACAAAAGTGACCTTTGACCTTTGGATGCCGAATAAGGAAGAATAGTTCATATGTGGCAGATGACCGTTGACCTTTGACCTTTGAGCCGCCATATAAGGATGTGACCTTGACATTTCCAAATAAGGGATGACTCGTCCATGTAAGGAAAGTGACCTTTGACCCTTGAGATTGACCTCTGTGCTCGATATGGAAGAGGTGGCTATATACACCATATTATGGTGATATCGTAGAATAGTAGTAGTAGTAGTAGTAGTAGTAGATTTTATTATTTTACTAGGGGAATCCCAACAGGCGTTGCCTTTTTACTGGGAACCCTGGGTGAATTTTTACCATGTTTACATACAGAGTAAGAGACGGGGCCTGTAGAATGTTCTATATAAGTCTGGATGGTATATATATTATGGGTGAATTGTCCTTATAAGGAAGGTGCACGTGGGTCAGGTCATATAAGGCATAATACATATAGGGTAGACGTGTCCTTATAGGGAAGGTGTACACGGACGAGGTCATATCAGGCATGTGTCATATAGGGTAGAAGTGTCCATATAGGGAAGGTGTACACTGGTCGGGTCATATAAGGCATATTCCATATAGGGTAAACGTGACGTAAACGTATTTCTTGTTTTATCCGCGCGAACGATGATGTCATCGGTAGAGTTGAAGTTCTTAGAGTCTTGCTTGAGTTTATCTTGGAAGGGATCGGAAACTGTACGAAATGAAACCTTTTCGACCATATCCAGCAGATCTTCTTCTAAATGCCTCATCCCCTCTACTTGCGGGGGGCATTTCTTGGATTTGAAGACGGGGGTGTCGTCCAAATCTGCTTCATCGGCTTAGTCGTCTTTCAGAAAGAACCAAGCCTTCCAACGCATGCGTTTCACGACGCTCTCCACCTTCTCGATCAGCGCCTTTCTGTAGACCTTAGCAGATGGTACCGGGATATTTTT